GGAAGGAAGGAAGGAAGGAAGGAAGGAAGGAAGGAAGGAAGGAAGGAAGGAAGGAAAGGAGCTCGGGTTAGGGTTCTCTTCTACCCTTAAAAAGTTGTGCTGGTTCTTGATATGGTGGAAGAGGAAGGCAGAAAGATCATCTACAGCAGGAGCTGATTGTCCAATGGAGAGACCACCAACCATCTTTCCTCTTGTGCTACCAGTTTCATAACACATTCATACTGCATGTGTGGTTATATTTTCCCTTTAACTGTCATACACAAACATATATTTGGCACCTAAACCTTAGAGAAGATGGTTGTCTGACATACGGAGAAAGAACCAAGACGATGACTGAAGCCGCATTGGAGGGGGCAGGTAGAGGTATTCACCTGTTTGTCTCGTGCAGGTGAAGAAGCTGAAACCGATCCTGAGAATGAAGGTGCCCCGTTCCTTAGGGCCCTCTTGGGGATCATCTAATGCAGGGGTCCCCAAACGTGGCAACTTTAAGACTTGTGAACTACAATTCCCAGAATTCCCCAGCCAGCATGTTGCCAGGTTTGGAGACCCCGGTCTAGTGAAAGGGCTTAACTCCCCGAATTCCCGGCCGTCCTAGTCTCATTTCTGGAAAGGGGTTCTTTCACATGCACCCCAAAACAGCTGGCAAGCTGACCCTCACCAGGCCCCCATGGCTATTCCTGGCCCGCTATGGCCCAAAGGGACCCTTTAAAATTCATCAGAGCATCGTGGCGGTTTTGCCTTTGGAAGACAAGGCTTGCTTGAGCCTCCTTTTCAGTTCCTGCATGTTGGGCGATTTGGGGCGGATGAGGTGGAGGCCCCTCCGCTTCTCCCCGTTGCAGTTCCCAATGATCCGGCTCAGCTCCCGGCACAGCTGCTGGAAGGCCTCGTGGACACCTTCGCAGTTCTCCCGCGCAGAGACCTCCGAGTACGGGCAGCCCAGCTCGTTGGCTAGTTGATGGCCTTCCTTGGTGGACACCTGCCTGGCCCGGAGCAGGTCCCCTTTGTTGGCCATCAGCAGCAAGGGGATGTTGGCATTGGGGTGGATCTTGCGGATGTGCTGGTGCAGCGGGCGAATGACGCGGTAGCTCTCGTAGTCCGTGATGGAGTAGACGAAGACGAAGCCGTCGGCCCAGTAAATGGACCGGTTGATCTGCTCCTGGCAACAGATGGTGTCATTCTCGTCCTGCCACCAAAAACCAGGAGGAAAGAGCTAAGTGCCAGTCGACAAAAAAAAGTCAAAACCAGAGCTAGGCCAGAGGGTGTTGAAGGAGCCACTGGCTGAGTTACTAGAGGTAGTCCCTGACTTACAACATTTCTTCAAAGTTACAATGGCACTGAAAACTGTGACTGAAGACCGTTTTTCACACTTGGGATCCAGCATCCCAGTGATCACCTGATCAAAATTCGGACATTTGGCAACTCACATTTACAACAGTTGTAGCTGATCACATGATCCCCCTTTTGCAGCCTTCTGACAAGCAAAGTCAATGGGGAAGCCGGATTCGCTTAACAACCAGGTTACTAACTTATCAGTTGCAGTGATTCACTTAACAACTGTGGCAAGCAAGGTGTTCGGCCTCACTAGGCTTCCCCAGAAAGCACTAAGCCAACTCTTTTTTTAAGGGGTGGGATAGAACTGCTGCTAAGCATGAATTGATTTGTCTACTTGTTCCCAGCACACCAGGGCTGAAACTGGCTTACAAAACCCTTGCTTGGAAATGATTGTTTGGAACGGAGCTGAAAACAGCCCGACAGGTGAGACTTCCCGACCGAGGTCTCTTTTACAAAAGGAGAAGATGCCCGTTGGCTTACTCTACAAATCATGGCTCCAAATTTTTAAGACCAAGAAAGATGCATAAGGTAGAGGCTCACAAGCACATCCCACCAAGGCCTACCTCACACACACACACACACACACACACACACATCGAAATCAGCAATTAGGTCCATATCTCTACTACTGAAAATTAGCCTTGAGACTGAGCTGGTTGGAATTGGGTGGCCTAGAAATCTGGCATGTAAATCTACAAACAAATAAGTCCTTCATGGCGTGGGCACAAGCCAAGTTCACTTACAGGGTCAAGCCCTAACAGGGATCCTTCCTCCCCCCCCCCCACTTCTTCCCCTCTTTCCTTCCTTCCTTCTTTCCTCGTTTCCCCAACTGCGACGCACTGCCCGGATTTCAGGGCTGTCCACAGGATGCGCTCAGAGAAGCCCAGGTGAGGCTCCCATCGCTGCCCTCCCAGCTCTGCGCATCCTCAGGGGCTTCCCAGAGAACTTTTAACGGCACCTCTGCGGCTATTACAGCTGGTCCTCCACTTATGATCACACTTGGGCCCCGAATTAATGTGGCTAAGTGAGACATTTGTTAAGTGAGTCTTGTCCCATTTTACCCAAGTTGTTAAGTGAATCACTGCAGTTGTTAAATTAGTAACACGGTTGTTAAATGAATCTGGCTCCCCCCCCCGACTTTGCTTGTCAGAAGGTCATAAAAGAGGATTGTGTGATCTTAGGACACTGCAACCGTCATAAACATGAGTCAGTTGCCAAGCGCCTGAACGACTGTGGAGACGCTGCAACAGTCGTAAGTGTGAATAGCGGTCATAAGTCACTTTTTCAGTGCCATCATTTCGGTCACTAAACGAACTGTTGTAAGCCGAGGACTACCTGTATGTTGGCCACATCCTGTGGACACCTTGGCTGCCTTGGGTAAGAGATCAAAGGCTATTTGGAATTACGCTTTATACCTCCAGGGAAACGAACGGCGTGTCCTGGACTTGTAAGGAAATCTGCTCCCCATCGATGGTGAATTTCCTGGAGTATAAAGCGCCTAAAGAGGAAGAAGGAAAAGTGGGAAGATAATTAATAGATCAGGTAGAGCAGTGATGGCAAACCTTTTTGTTGGGGTGCGCCAAAAGCGCAAAATGCAATGTGCCCTGCCCACCCTGCGCAGGCATGCACAACACCCCCGCCCTGACTCTTACCTGCACTGCGCATGCGTGCGCCTCCCAGCTGATTTTTTCGGCCCCTCAGAGGCTCGAGGGAAGCCTCTGGAGCCTTTGGAGGCCAAAAAACTGGCCCATTTCGTCACTTCTGGTATTTCCAGAACTGCAGAGCCTCCAGGAGGGCGAAAATGGCCTCAAATGGGCCGAAAATCAGCTGTGAGGTGTGCGCATGCGCAGTGCAGGTATGTTTGGCAGGGGCTCGCGTGCCCACACAAATGTCTCTGCGTGCCACCATCACAGAGATACAACATGTATTTATTTGACTTTCCTCCAATTTTGCCCCAAACAGTCTGCTCACTTTTCTTGCTTCTAAGGCAAGAATGTTGAGAGCCAGGAAGCACGTAAGTTTAATGTAAGTCTAGTAAAGGCCTCAACGTACGACCGTAACCAAGCCCAAATGTTCCATTGCTAAGCAAGACAGTTGTGCCTTGCCCCCGTTTTATGACCTTCCTTGCCACAGTTGTTAAGTGAATCACTGCAATTGTTAAAGTGACCCTGGTCTCCCCGTTGACTTGACTTGACAGAAAGTTGCAAAAGGGGATGACGTGACCCCAGGACCATCACAAATACGAGTCTGATGCCAAGTGCCCGAATTTTGATCACCTGATCATGGAGATGCTGCAACAGTCATAAGTGTGAAATATGGTCATAAGTCACTTTTTTCTGTGCCATTGTAACTTTGGTCACTAATTGAATGGAAGTAGGTCAGCAAAGCTGGCTGGGGAATTCTGGGAGTTGAAGTACACAAGTCTTAAAGTGGCTAAGTTTGGAGACCCTTGCTATAAGTAACGGAGCCGGTTCTGACTGGTTCTGGAGAACCGGTAGCGGAAATTCTGAGTGGTTTGGAGAACCGGCCAATCCCACCTCTGACTGGCCCCACCCACATCTATTCTCTGCCTCACATTGAGTCCCAGCTGATCGGCTGGGTCTCCTTTGGTTGCCCTGCACAGGAGAACGGAGCTGGAAAGCAGGTCAGTGGGGTACGGAGAGAGTGGGGAATTTGCAGTAACCTTCCCCTGCCACTCCCACCAAGCCATGCCCACCAAACCACACCACGCCCACCAAGCCAAGCCACACCCACAGCTGATTGGCTGGGTCTTCTTTTGTTGCCCTGCACAGGAGAACGGAGCTGAAAAGCAGGTCAGTGGGGTAGGGAGGGAGTGGGGATTTTGCAGTAACCTTCCCCTGCCACACCCACCAAGCCATGCCCACCAAGCCACACCACACCCACCAAGCCAAGCCACACCCACCAAGCCAAGCCACACCCACAGCTGATTGGCTGGGTCTTCTTTGGTTGCCCTGCACAGGAGAACAGAGCTGGAAAGCAGGCTAGTGGGGTAGGGAGGGAAGGGGGATTTTGCAGTATCCTTCCCCTGCCACGCCCACCAAGCCACACCCACAGAACCGGTAGTAAAAAAATTTGAATCCCACCACTCGTTATACTACCAGTGATAGTAATTTTCTCTTCCCTCCCCGATATTTTCCTCCTAAACCCAATCTGAATCCACTTCCAGGGAATTTCAATCCATAATTCAGGTTCTGCCTTGAGGGCGAAGACCCCAACCTAACTCCAGCCACTGCACAGGAACACCTTCTAAACTTCTTTTTCATTTTTTTTTCCTTTTCACACTGGACCGATTCTTATTTTTAGCCGAAACCTCTTCCCGCCACACCAACCACAGCCTGATGGGCAGCCCGAGAGAGCTAAAAGTTGCTTTTTCCTCGCAAGAAGAGCCCAGGACTCAGATAGCTTGGCTCATTTCTCTGACCCTGCACAGGTTTTTCCCTTCTCCTGTTGCTAACAATAAAATACACCAAAGCAGAGGCTGGTGGGAGGGGTAGTTGAAGGATTACACTTCAGAAAGGGAAACTAGGCAAAAGGTTTTTAGAGAGTGTGATGAGCTGTTATGAAATAGGAAATAAGCCAGAGGGTAGAGAGACTTTTACCCAACGGCATTAAAAGTTCACTTCCAGTCTGATTTAGGGATCTGCCTGCAGGAATATGACATCCATTTAGCCCACTATATATAGCCATCCGTTTATCCCACACATTTGGTCTTTGCCCTCGGCTCCTTCGTCTAAGAATCACTCGGAATAGAATAGAGCTGAAAGGGACCTTGGAGATCTTCTAGCTCAACCCCCTCAATGGTATAACCCCCTTATACCATTCAAGATAGAATGAAGCATGCAGAGGTGGGATTCAGCCAGTTCTGGCCAGTCCTGGAGAACCGGTAGTGGAACTTTTGAGTAGTTCAGAGAGCCGGCCAATCCCACCTCTGAGTGGCCCCGCCAACCCCATCTCTTCTCTGCCTCCCATCGAGTCCCAGCTGATCGGCTGGGTCTCCTTTGGTTGTCCTGCACAGGAGAACGGAGCTGGAAAGCAGGTCAGTGGGGTGGGGAGGGAAGCGGGATTTTGCAGTATATCCTTCTCCTGTCATGCCCACCAAGCTATGCCCACTAAGCCACACCATGCCCACCAAGCCAAGCCACGTCCACCAAGCCACACCCACAGCTGATCGGCTGGGTCTCCTTTGGTTGTCCTGCACAGGAGAACGGAGCTGGAAAGCAGGTCAGTGGGGTGGGGAGGGAAGGGGGATTTTGCAGTAACCTTCCCCTGTCACGCCCACCAAGCCACACCCACCAAGCCACGCTCACAGAACTGGTAGTAAATTTTTTTGAATCCTACCACTGGAAGCCTGACTGGCTGGGGAATTCTGGGAATCCATGCATCTGAAAGTCACCAAGGCTGGGAAACACTGCTCTAAACTTATTAAAAACGAACTGAATTCTTTGCAAAACTGGCTTGTGCAAATTGCCTCTATTGTGGTTGGTTGAAAAAAAAACTCTGCTCACCTGGGTGGCCAAGAATGGGAGCAAATGCACCGAAATGTTTCCAGGGAGCCAGTGGAGCCAAATTTCCACTGTGTCCCAAATCCATGCCCAAAATACTCGCGATCATATCGCACAAGAGCCTCTGTGTGTACAACAACACACCCCCAGTCAAAAGTGCAGCTCGGCTAACCAACTTGGAGAGGTCACCTTCGGTGGTTCTGAGATCACATCGGCCAGCTCCTCTCGAAACCTGGGAGGTAATCCGCCTGGCCCCGGTGATTTGAACTTATTTAGAATGGACGTAGGAAGTCCTCCGCTTACAACCATTCATTTTGTGACTGGACAAACTTTACAACAGCACTGCCAAAAGTGACTTATGGCCGTTGAAGCATGCCCTATGGCAGAGGTCTCCAAACATGGCAACTTTAAGACTTGTGGACTTCAACTCCCAGAATTCTCCAGCCAGCATAGCTGAAGTCCACAAGTCTTAAAGTTGCCAACTTTTAGGGGGCCCTGCTGTAGGAGATGGCCAGGCTGCGCCCGAGGGAAGGGCCCTGTGCCCACAAGGGGGACAAGTTCAGCACACCTTGAATTCCTTATCTACCACCAAGTTGCCTTGACTGTTAGTAGCCCAGATTCTTGTAGAGAGCTTCAGCTAGCAATACATCTTGATACTCTGTTGAACTGCCTGGATCTCCCTGGTACTTGACAGACACGTTAGAAGAGAGAAAAATAGGGTTGGAAGGGATCTGAGAGGTCTTCTAGTCCAACCCTCGCTCAAGCAGGAGACTCTAACCCATTCTGGACAAAGAGCTGTCTAGTCCGGGGATCTCCAACCTTGGCAACTTTAAGCCTGACGGACTTCAACTCCCAGAATTCCCCAGCCAGCTTTGCTATGGTCACATGATCCTCTTTTGAGACCTTCTGACAATCAAAATCAATGGGAGAGGCCTGATTCACTTAACAACCATGTTACTAACTTAACAACTGCAGTGATTCTCTTAATAACTGTGGCAAGAGGGTTTGTGCTGGCTGGAGACTTCTGGGAGTTGAAGTCCCCAAGTCTCAAAGGGGCCAAGATTGGAGACCTCCGTCATAAGGGAATTCCTTGTTTTGCATCCATCCGGCCCCTCTTTCTGCTAATGTAAACAGCTGTCAGCCCCAGGAGACGGATGAGACGCAGAGCAGGACTTCTGCGAAGAGTAGAAACCTCAACAGGCACCAACAGGTCAGGCAGTCCGGAAATAAAAATAGGTTCTGTGGCAGCTGGCTTAGAAAGGCCTTCAGTGTGGTACTCCTCTGCATCAAACTAACCTCAAGGTAGTCCTCGACTTACAACCAGAAGGACCTGTCGCTAAGCAAGGCTGATCTTAAGTGAGCCATGCCTGATTTTACACTCTTCTTTTTTTTTTGCCACAGATGTTACACACAAGTCACTGCAGTTCCCTTGCAGGAAGCCAGCCGAGAAGGTCACAAACAGGGATCCGGTGGCCCCATGGAGGTGTCCATGAGCGCAGGCCATTTGCCAAGCACCTGAATCCTGATCATGTGGCCACGGTCAAGTGCTGGGAGGAGCATTTTCAGTACCACTGTAACATCAGGTGGTCTAAACCAGGGGTCTCCAACCTGGGCCCCTTTAAGCTTGGCGGACTTCAACTCCCAGAATCCCCCAGCCAGGATTCTGAGAGTTGAAGTCGCGCCAAGCTTAAAGGGGCCCAGTTGGAGACCCCTGGTCTAAACAAATGGTTATAAGAGGAGGACTATCTATACAGGTAGTCCTCCACTTACGGCCACAAGTTTTTATTGCAAAGTGAAACATTTGTTAAATGAATTTGGCCCCATTTTACGACCTTTTATGCAACGGTCGTTAACGGAATCACCACAGTTCTGAAGTCAGTAAACCCGGTTGTTAAGTGAATCTGGCTTCTCCATTGACTTTGCTTGTCAGAAGGTCGCAAAAGGGGATCCTGGGATACAGCAACCATCGTAAATACGACTCAGTGGCCCAGTATCGGATCCCGTGACCCCTGGGGATACTGCAATGGCATAAGAGTGAAAAAAATGGTCATAAGTCACTTTTTTTTCCAACGCCGATGTAACTTTGCAGAGTCCCTAAATGAATGTCAGGGCTGGCTGGAGAATTCTGGGAGTTGAAGTCCACAAGTCTTCAAGTGGCTGAGTTTGGGGACCCCTAGTATAGGGTTCTCCTGGCTTGAACAGGGGTTAGACTACAGGACCTCCAAGGTCCCTTCCAACCCTAGGATCATATACTCTGTCAGCTATGCTGGCTGGAGAATTCTGGGAGTTGAAGTCCACAAGTCTCCAAGTGGCCAAGTTCCCCTGCTTTAGAGTAAGCGTGAAATCAGAGTCACCTTTTTAAAGGTTTACATGGACGCCTGAACCAGAAGAAGGCCTCTCCCAGCCACAGCAGAGACACCCCTGTGTCTGTGTGAGCCGCGAAGCGCTTCTTCCTCCCAACCATCTCTGCGTGGTGCATCCCTACAGTATTTTCCAAATCAGTCTTAGGGATCTTCCTTCTCGCGTTGGATTGGCAAGCATCCCCAAGCAATTCCTTTGCTCTTAGCAAAGCTTCGTATTCCACTGTAAGAGGACCCAGCCGTTGCTTGCTGCACAGGAACACACACAGACTGGATCTGGGGTGATTCAGACGACAAAAGCCCCCCCCCTCAACTCAGAGGGCCCCCATCCTCCTCCCTTTCTGATAGCACTAGAAGCAGACAAAAGCCTCCCTTTGAAGCTGCTCTTTTGAAAAAAAGCCCTCAGCCCCATTCTTTGGCAGAAGACAAAAGCAGAAGAGAGGTGGCCTCTGTTTGTTCAGGGGATGCATGGCAGGACCCCTTTGATCCTTTCTTTTTAATTAAAACTGTGTCCGTCTCTGGGCTCCCACTCCACCGAGGCGATGCTGGCTTTAAAAAAGTACAACCTCTTTCCCTTTTGGGGGGGGGGGGCATAGGCTGCAAATCACAGAGCTTTGATTTAGGACCGTCCTTGCTAGGAGCGAGATTCGAAAGCGAGTGGGAGGACCTGAAAATGAGACATTTCTGAATCCATAAAAACAGACCCCCTCACACCCCTCCCAGCCTCCTCTGGGTTGACTCAGTTCTCCTCCTTGGATGCCGGGAGCTGCCCACCCACCCACGCACCCAACCTCTCGCCCTTCCAGGCTCTGGAGCCACAGAGACACAGCCCCCCACCACCACCCCGTTTGCTTTCATCAAACCCCACAAGGCAGCAGCCAGACGTACCCGTGTTGGCTTCGTAGTCTCCGATGAACCTCTTGGTGAGAAACCTCACGATGAGGGCTGCAAAACAAGAGAAAAGGCGGGAGGGTGTTTAATGGACCCAGGAATTGCCACGGCGGGGAAAGAGGGGCAATTAAACGCGCCCATTCACTGCCTCGCCACCCCATGAGTTTCATTATTAATGGGGTGGGGGCAAGGGGGGTTGGAAACCCCTCTTGCTGGCTGGCTCAGTAGATCAGGGGTCCCCAAACCTGGCCACTTGAAGACTTGTAGACTTCAACTCCCAGAATTCTCCATCCAACTTTGCTTTTTTTTACTTGGAAATTCTCCAGGCTAAATAACCTCGGTGCTCTTCATTGCACCCTTGAAAGACAGTTTGCCAGGCCTTGGGCTGAAGGTGGATGCAAGAAATTCACCTTTGTTTAACAAAAAGGGTTTTGCTGGGGCAAAGAGTCGGCTTAGTGCTTTTTGGGGAAGCCAAGGTCAGAACAGGGTCCCCAAACTTCGCTACTTTAAGACTTGTGGACTTCAACTCCCAGAATTCTCCAGCCAGCTTTAGTCCAAGGTTGAACCGTGGAGTCCTTGCTGCTCTTGGAGCTTGGGGGCCTTTTTTGGCATATGTTTCATGACCTAACTAGGTAACATCATCAGTACTTGAAGGGAGCGGGGTTTGTGGAGTGGAGGAGGAGATGAAGAACGCAGGAGGAGGAAGAGGAGGAACAAGGGGAAGACCGGAGGTCCTTGGTGCTCTCTGAAGTTGGCTGTTTTCTTGCAGATGTTTCATTACCCAAGTAGTAACTTCATCAGAGCACAGGACTCTGCACACTGTATTTTCAAAGGAATCTCCAATTAAAAGAAAAGATGCATAAAATAGTCCTCAAAAACCTTCAGAGTCATTTAAAAGCAGCATTTCCCACCTAGGGAGTCATACAATAATATAGAGAGGATATATCACCACTCGAAAATCAGAAAACACCCCACAAAAGGGAAAAAATGGAGGAGGAGGAGGAGGAGGAGGAGGAGGAGGAGGAGGAGAGACCTGCCCTCTTCTAGCCAGTGTGCACAGTTTTAGAATAGAATAGGATAGAATAGAATACAGTAGAGTAGAGCAGAACAGAATAGAAATAGAAATAGAATTCTTTATTGGCCAAGTGTGATTGGACAAACAAGGAATTTGTCTTGGTGCAAATGCTCTCAGTGTACATAAAAGAAAAGATACATTCGTCAAGAGTCAAGAATCATCAGGTGCAACACTTAATAATAGTCATAGGGTACAATAAGCAATCAAATCATACTAGGAGACAGTCCATATAGATAGTAAGGATACAAGCGACAAAGTTACATTGATACAGTCACAGGTGGGAGGAGATGGATGACAAGGAGTGATGAGAAGATTAATAGTGATAGTAGTGCAAACTTAGTAAATAGTTGGACAGTGTTGAGGGAATTATTTGTTTAGCAGAGTGATGGCATTCAGGGAAAAAAACTCTCCTTGTGTCTAGTTGTGCAGGGCTCTATAGCGTCGTTTTGAGGGAAGGAGTTCAAACACATCCGGGATGTGAGGGGTCTGTAGATATTTTCACAGTTTTGTATCTTGACAAAGATTGTTAGGAATCCCAGAGGGGGAGGCCTTTGATTTGGGGACCCAAGTAAGCTGTGCTCAGGTTGGGGAGAGATGGAGAATGTCTATTGACGTGGTCACTAGAAGTCGACACCGACTTCCCCATCCCCATCCCCTCCTCCTTCTTCCCCCTCCCCCTCCCTTTCTCCCCCTTTCCCCTCCCCCTGTCCTCCTTCCTCCCCTTCTCCATCCCCGTCCTCTCTTTCTCCTCCTCCTCCTCCCATCTCCTTCTCCTCTTTTCATCAAACTGAAGATCTCCCCAACATTTCGCCTCTGCCGGAAGTTTCCTTCCCATGAAGGGAGGCCATCGGCCTCTTGAGCCCCTTCTTGCCAAAGACCCTCAAGGAGGAAGATGCCTTCCGGATTTCAGCCGCGCCTCTCACACTGGCAGCCCCAGGAAGCCATCCGTTCCACATGACAGAGTGTCCGGGGGTGGGGGGGTGGGGGGGGGGAAGGGGGCCCACGGGATGTTATTGGAGGCCCGGCCAGGAGGCCTCCAGCCTTCGCTATAAATTTCCTATTGTGTTTTCACACTTTCAAAAGGCTCCCACTTTATTTATTTTTGCCTGGCTTTCTCGCATTCTTTCGCCAGGGAGGCTGGGAAAGGGTGACCCTTCACCACCGGTGTCACCCTTGTCACAACTCATTGTACTTCCTTGACTCAATGGAATTTCTTCCAGCAGAGGTTTTTTTTTTTTTTTTCTTCCCTCCTCCTGCCCAGCTTATTCCTTGGAGGAAAGGATCCACGTGAGAACAAGGCGCTTTCTCCCGAGCGAAAGGCAAGCCCGAAAGAGATCAGCTCTGAGCTCCGGTTTCAGACCGCTCTTGGGTGGGTGGGTAGATGAAATCATCTGGTGGAGGCTGAGGCTACATGGGAAGATCCAGGCATGCATGCATGCAAAGCTTCGGAGACATGGTGTTCCCTTGACTTTCCTCGTGTGAAAGATTAGGACGTACCCTGGGAAGGAGAAGGAAGGAAGTAGGGGGCGGTTAACCCTTGTGCTCCCCACCAGTTTTCCCATGCAAACTGCTCCCAAGCAGAGATCTAGCTTGCCTGGATAAACATTCCTCAACCCTTGGCGCCTTTAAGATGAGTGGACTTCAAGTCCCAGAATCCCCCGGCCAGCCTGCTAGCCAAGGAATTCTGGGAATTGAAGTTCACCCATCTTAAAGTTGCTGCACACTGCACACACACACACACTGCTTTAGGTCTCCTGCCAGACTCTGAGATCAGAACCAAATTCCAAAAATAAACTGGCTGGGAAAATGGACTATTAAAAGGGACGGTAGCGGTTAAAAATCGGAGTGCATGGAAGGACCCCGTGACTTTGACGTTGTGACTTTGACGTTGTCACTTCTCTTCATCACATTCCCACATACACACATTAACCCTCATCTTTGGCAAATGAGAATGCATGAGCTACATCTAGTAAGATTTATCACCGTGATCTTGGTTACTGAATTTTGTTTCACCCAGATGACATTCCCAAAGTGTCCCAGAGGTCCTAGCAAGATGACCAGTCCTGAAGACCAACCAGGCCCGCCTCCAGCCTTGGATGTGATTTGGGGAAAGTTCATAGTTCACACCTAACAAAGGTAAATCCTGACATCTATGGAGATTCTCAGCCATCCACGTCACGGTTGTCCCAAAGCTACTTTTCCAAAAGGCAACTGAACTACCTTAGTTTTTATTTGAAAATGTTTTGCTTCTCATCCAAGAAGCTTCTCCAGTTTTAACTCAGTTAGAATTTCAGTTAGAACTGAATCAGCTTCCTGGATGAAAAGCAAAAACATTTTCAAAGGAAAAAAAAAGAAGGAAGTCCACTTGCCCCTTGGAAAAGCAATTTTGGGGTAAATTCTGGTGGTTGCTAAGAGAGGTGTCCTGTTTTAAGGAGGACTTTGAAAGCCTGTCCAACCCAGATCCAGGCTCCAAAAGAAGACTAAGAAGAAAGAGAAGAACAAGGCCAAGGCATTGCCCCCTCTGCAGGTAGCAGCACGTGGAGATCTCGTAATCCACTTGCTCACTCACTGATACGAAATCCAGCATGTCTTTTAAGATGACGTTAATGTCCATATTTGTGCTTTTTCTTCTGAAAGAGTCTATCATCCCTGTCCTCTTGGTCAAAGATATACAAGGCCCATTCCTCCAGGAAAACAATTTCAGAATTCTTCACAACGAGCTCCCACGCAGGTGAAATCTCTCCACTTCATGAAACAATCTGTGGGTGCCGAGACAGCTTTTCCCCAAATGCTCCTTGTAGTCACCACCTGTCCAAAGAAGTGGTTTGAGGAACCTTGTCCAAGTAGTTCTTCTCCTTTGGTGCCTGCTGGATTTTGCTGCCTTTCCCCAGTCCCTTGTCTTCCTTCAGCAGCAGATGTGTCCATCTTATCCTGCCCTAGGAGCCAACCCACAGCATGGAAGCTGGAAGTACATCCGGTGCCTCCTGATCGACTTCCAACAAAGGATTTTGCAAACATTCACCAGCTAAGATGCAGGGTTTCTGCACGCAGGGATCTCTTTCCTACTTCCAGAGACCCTTCCTTCACTTCTGGAGAACTCCCAAGAAGTCTGCGCTGATGGATGACAGGCATATTGGGTAGACCAGACAGTAAACACAGCCCGGGTAACCTAATCCTATTTTATTGTCAGGTTAAAGATTCTAGCAAGTCTGAAAGTTCAACTCTCCCACCGTCTCCTTTACAGCCTGAGAAACCAGGGCAGGTCTCTTCTGAATCTTTTTCCACCCGTTATCCTGCTGTGGGCTCTGCTGCCTCTTACCTGGCTGTTCCCTAGGCAGCATCGCTTCACCTTGTCTCCCAAGGTCTTTCCCACATACAACATCACTGGCTTAATGGTTGCCCCCAAATACTTAGACCAGTAACTTTCCCTCTCCCAGCCCAGCTTACCTTCCGGGGCTCCTATGGGGGCAATGGGAGGAGGGTGCCCTATTTATACCACCTTCAAGTTCCAGAACAAAGGCAAGAGAGAAACCTAACACAGCTAATCCATCCTCAGGCCCAAGACTTATGTTACTAACCAAGACAGCTGTTAAGTGAGTTTCTGCCATAGGCAGCCTGGCCAGGAGCTAAGCAGCTCAGCCATCCCATGGTAGAAGACAGAATAACAGAGTTGGAAGGGACCTTGGAGGTCTTCTAGTCCAACCCGCTGCTCAGACAGGACGCCCTTTATGACTTCAGACAAATGGCAGCCCAGTCTCGTCTTGAAAACCTCCAATGATGGAGCAGCCACAACTTCTGCAGGCAAGCCGTTCCGCTGGTTGATTGTTCTCACAGTTAGGAAAGTCCTCTTAGTTCCAGGTTGCTTCACTCCCTGATGAGTTTCCATCTATGGCTTCTTGTCTTCCCTTCAGGTGCTTTGGAGAACAGGTTGAACTGCCCTTCTTTGTGGCAGCCCTTCAAATTTTGGAAGGCTGCTCTCTTGTACTCCAGTCTTTCTCTTCCTTAGACTAAACATACGCAAGTTCCCACAACTCTTCATTGTTATGTTTTAGCCTCCTGGTCTCCTGGTCCTCTTTGTTGCTCTTCTCTGGACTCTATTTCTAGAGTCTCCCCTCTTTTTCCAACGAGTAGTTGGAAGGCCAGAGGATACACTGCCCATCCAAGAGTGATGCCAAGGAACCCTAGAAGACTTCCACGTGCCTGCCAGTCAAAACAGACTGACTCACCAATTTGGACAGATTCTCCTCCACTCAAAAGTCTGCCTCCTTCCAATTGCTTTTAGTTTGGAACAATGTACAAATATGTCGAGGGAGAGAGGGGTGTTTTTTGGTGGTGGTGGTGGGAAACATTGTCGGTGCTTGTTTTTCCCCAAGCAAGAATGACTGTTTCTTTCACACAGAACCAGGGCAGACGGTTTCCTCCAAAAATGAAAGCCTTTGAAGCATTCTTTTCAGGAATGGAAGAGTTTTTGTACAGTATATTTTTCTCCCGGTTGTTTAGGAGCTTGCAACCATTAGGAAACATTTATTTAAAAAAAAAAAAATGCAGGTAGTCTTCAACTTACAACCATAAGTTTAGCAACTGAAACAGCACTGAAAAAGGTGACTTATGGCCAGATCCTCCCATTTATGACCACCGCAGCATCCCTAGGGTCACATGATCAAAATTCAAGTGCTTGGCGACCTGCATATATTTATGAGGTTTGCAGTGTTCTGGGGTTACGCGAGGACACCTGCAACCTTCCCACAAAAAGTCAATGCTTAACGATTGTGAGATTTGCTCAACAGCTGCAGGGCAAAAGTTGAACCAAAGTTCCTAATATTGGGCATGATTCGCTTGCTTAGCAATGGAAATTCTGGCCCCGATTCCGGTCACAGATTTGTAACCCAAGTTTTAATGCTGATAATTCTCAGCTTATAAGAGTTCCTTCAGGGGTCGTTCGAAGTTCCAATGGCCCTGAAAAAGGGAACCAGGGCCAGTTTTCACACTTACGACCGTTGCCACATCCCTAGGGTTACGTGACCAAAATGCAGACGCTTGGCAACTGAATCGTATTTGTGACAGTTGTAGAGTGATCCCCTTTTGGGACCTTCGGACCAGCAAAGTCCATGGGGAAGCCAGATTCACAACCGTGTTACTAATTTAACCCCTGCAGTGATTCACTTAACAATGGTGGCAAGAACAGTTGTAAAATGGGGAAACATTAACAACCCTCTTGCTTAGCAACAAAAATTTTGAGCTCAATTGTGTTCATAAGTTGAGGTTTACCTGTATGGGTCTGGAGGAAAAGAGGCAAAGTGAGCAGGCTCTGAATTTGGGAGGGTTGTTTCTATGAATTATTTTTGCTGCTTTTCACCTCAATATGTGCTGCTTTGAGCTGGGTTACTCTGGTGACCCACAAACTGACCGATAAAACAAATAAGATGCAACATTACAATGCTTGCCCGCCAACCAATGACCAATCGGACAGGTCTAGTCTAGTGGGAAGAGGGACTGTGGAAGGTGTGATGGTAGTGATCCAATATTTGAGGGGCTCCTACAAAGGCAAAGGCATCAACCTATTTTCCAAAGCACCAGAAAGCACGACGAGAAACAGTGGATGGAAACTAACCAAGGAGAGAAGCAACCTGGAACAAAGAAGAAATTCCCCAGCTTGCCTCGAGAAGTTGTGGGTGCTCCAACACTGGAGGCTTTTAAGAAGAGACTGGACAACCATTTACCTGACATGGTCTATAGCAGAGGTCTCCAAACCTTGGCACCTTTAAGCCCAGGCGACTTCAATTCCCAGAATTCTAGGAGTTGAGGTCCCCCAGGCTTAAAGGTGCCAAGGTTGGAGACCCCCGGTATATAGAGTCTCTGGCTCAAGCAGGGGGTTGGACTAGAAGACCTCCAAGGTCCCTTCTAACTCTCTTATTCTACGAGAAGGATCACTCAGGTCTCACCACCGTCTGACTAGCTAATCGAGGCTCCCTTGCAGCTTCAGCCTGAGGTCAATCCGGCGGTACCAACAGAAGTTTTGGGCTCAGTTGTGGTTGGGAGTCAAGGACCACCTGTAACTGTTATGGTTTTGCATTCGTGCTTTATTTTGCTTCTGGTACTGATCAAGATCAAGAGAAGCACTACTACCATTCTATAAAGCCTTAGTAAGACCACACCTAGAGTAACTGCATCCAGTTTTGCTCACCAGACTATAAAAAAAGAGGCTGAGACTCCAGAAAAAGTACAGAGAAAAACAACCAGGATGATTAGGGGACTGGAAGCTAAAACATACGATGAACGGTTGCAGGAACTGGGCTTGGCTAGTCTAGTAAAGAGAAGGACCAGGGGAGACAGGATACCAGTCTTCCAATATTTGAGGGTGGGGGGTTGGACTGGATGATCTACAAGGTCCCTTCCAACTCTGTTAATCTGACTTTAATCTGATTTTGATGAACAAAAGGACCAGGGGGAGGTATGATAGCGGTCTTCCAATATCTGAGGGGCTGCCCCAGAGAGGAGGAAGCGGGTCAAGCTATTCTCCAAGGCACCCAAAGGCCAGACAAGGAATAATGGGTGGAAACTGAACAAGGAGAGATTCAACTTGGAAATAAGGAGAAACTTTCTGACAGTGAGAACAATCCACCAACGGGACAAAAGTTGTGGGAGCTTCATCCCTGGAAGCTTTCAAGAAGAGACCAGACTGCCATCGCTCAGGAATGGGGCAGGGTCTCCTGCTTGGGCGGGGTATGTGTGTTGGACTAGATGACCTACAAGGTCCCTTCCGACTCTGTTAATCTGTTGGCATCTCAGTCGTGGCTGATTGTCCACCCTGCCGATTTGTCAATGACCAATGGTGGACAATGGAGCTTCTGGGAGACCCCAGCGGTGCCTTTTCCAAAAACGCCTCCGGTCCCGGCGCCTGCTTGCCCTCCTGCCTTTTCTCCCGCTAGCCCCCCCCCCCCGACCCCCCGACCCAAGATCTGCCTTCTTTCCCTGGAAAGGGGGAAGAAAACATCTGGTGAACTTCGGTGTTCCTCAAAACAAGCCGAGCTCAGCGCCGGAACCGCCCCGTTCAGTCAAAGATTAACCGAGAACCGGCTGGAGGCGCAGCCGGTCAGCAGGAGGAGGAAGAGGAGGAGGAGGGCGGGGGGGAAGGGGAAGCACCCCCTCCCCCGTTCTTGGGGGGGGGGGCTCCCCTGGGCACTTACCGGTCTTCCCCACGCCGCTGCCCCCCAGGACCACCAGCTTGATGACTTTGTTGGGCGCGCACTCCAGGAGCGGGTATTCCGGGATGGGCACCAGGAGGAAACTCATGGAGGGCTGCTGGGACATAGTCGCCCGGTCGGGCATGCCCCGAGGAAGGCCCGCGGGGGGCTCGGAGGGGTCCCGGGAAAGGGCGCAGCAGCCTCAGGGGGCAGCTCCGGCCTTCCCTGCATGCTCAGCCCCGCGGCATGGCCGGAGGAGCCCCAGGCCGGGCAGCCCCTTCCCCGAAAAAAGCCCCGCGCCAGCCAGGCAAAGTTTGCAGCGCTGCAAGCCTCTCCGGGGAAAGAAAAAAAAAAAGCTGACTCCGGCGCTCGGCAGCCAATCAAAGGGGCCCGGCCGGCATTCCAGCGGGTGGGCAGACGGAGCGGGGCTCCGGCTCTCTGCTCGCCTCCCGCCCCCCGCCCACCCTGCCCCGGCCCCCCCCCCCCGCCCCCCGCCCGGCCCGGCCCGGCTCGGCTCGGCTCCGCAGCTCCCGGCTTTGCGGCGTCAGCGCCGCCGCCTTGGATTTCGAGCGTTTGCAATTAAAAGCGTTGGTAGGGGACTTGGGGGTCATCTAGTCCAACCCTCCGCCCAAGCAGGAGAGCCTACCGCAGGGATCGTCAAACATGGCAACTTTTTAAGGCTTGGGGACTTCAACTGCCAGAAGTCTTAAAGTTGCCAAGTTTGGGGGTCCCTGCTATAGAAGGAGATGCTAGTTCTCTCTCTCTCTCTCTCTCTCTCTCTCTCACACACACACACACACACACACTCACTATCTAACTATATCTCTATATCTATCAAAAACACTCTGTCTGGAGGCTCTTTTTCCAACAAGCGCAGCCAAGAGCTTCATAGAAAAGATGGACTCTGGGACAGGTGAAGTGGGAATTCCCTTGCAGGTGTCTGGAGAGGAACCTTCTCCAAGCTTCAGGGATAGCAAAGCAACAAAAACCAGCTTCAAAGGGAACAGGTGGCCCAAGCAGATAAGACAGAACACACACCCATCTTCCCCCTTCACAAGAGATTGTTGACATGATCTGAAGAAAGAGTTGGAAGAAGATCAGGGAGATAACGACTTGCTAGACATTTCCTTACAAGACACAAGGGTTTGGTTCCTTCAGAGGCAGGAGAGAGTTCAGGGATCCTTATCTTGTTTGCTTACCTGTTGCAAGACCATCTGGAGGAAACCTTCTGGATTTATCTCACCTTTCCCTTTGACAGCCAGGGGCTAATCTCTCACAAACATTCCCAGAGAGAAACAGCCACCCCTCGAGAAATCCAGGAACTTCTTAATTTAAGTCAGTGTTTCTCAACCGGGGGAACTTTTAAGATGTGTGGACTTCAAGTCCCAAAATTCTCAGCAATGGCTTTGCTGGCCGTGGAATTCGGGGACTTGAAGTCCATATACCTGGAAAGCCCAGATCTAGATGGATACACATCAGTTTGTTCAACTAACCAGTATGTCCTGGCTCATACCTAATTCTAAACAATAAACGATGACACAAACTTCCACCCTCTTCTGACTAGAATTAGAATTGGAATTATTTTTATTGGCCAAGTGTGATTGGACACACAAGGAATTTGTCTTGGTGCAAATGCTCTCAGTGTACTTAAAAAGAAAAGAGACACTCATCAAGAATCGAGAATCATAAGGTGCAACACTTAATGATAATCATAGGGTGCAATAAGCAATCAAATCATACTAGGAAACAGTCAATATAAATCGTAAGGATAGCAACTTTTCCAACTCACAGGTTTGATTAAATAGCTTTGAGGGAGATGGGCGGTTTAGAAAGATGAAATATAAACAAACAAATTAATTAATATGCAGCTCACTTCAAGATGGAGGATTTAATTGAGAGAAGACAGAAAGAGAGAGGATGGGAAGCTGGGTTGTGTGTAAGGCTGATACATGGCTTTTTTTTTTTGACTCTAGCAACTTTTAACAGGGGTGGGATTCTACCAGTACGCACCTATTTGCTAGAACCAATTGTTAACATTCTAAGCAGTTTGGAGAACCCATTGTTAGAAGAAATTACTGGCCTAATCCTGTAAGGAAGGCAGGAAGGAAACATTCTGGTGTTGCTTACAGAAACTGCCTCTCCATTAACACTTATTACATTCTTGGCAGGACTAGACTTCCTGTCTCTGGAACTTCTCTGGAGTTTTTTTTCCCTCCTTTGCTGGTACTTAGCTTGTGTGGAGTGACCATTCAAAGTTACAACGGCACTGAAAAAAGTGACTTATGACCACTTTTCACACTTACAACTGTTGTAGCATCTCCACAGTCATGAGAGGCCAGGCGAGGAGATGCGTGCCTCGATCTGAGTGATATTGAGTTGGCCACACCCAGCCAATAACATGACCAGCAAGCCATGTCCACCCAGTCACATGACCACCAAGCCACGCCCACCACCTAAGCCACGCCCACAGAACCGGTTGTTAAAAAATTTGAATCCCACCCCTGACTTTTAAGATGGGTGAACTTCAATTCCCAGAATTCTCTAGCCAGCGTGCTTGAGAAACCCAAGCAAGGGAACATAAACTGGGTCCTGAAATGGAGAGAGGGATTATGAAGTGGACCAGAATGAATTCTCCTGAGACTTGAGTGGTGAAATTCATGAGAAAATGGATAATGGTGAGGAGGAGAGGAAAGGAAATAGCAACAACACTTAAACTTATATACTGCTTCACAGTGGTTTACTGTACTCTCTGAGCAGTTTACAGAGTCAGCATATGTGCCCTCAAACAATCTGGGTCCTCATTTTACCAACCTTGGAAGGAGGGAAGGCTGAGTCAACCCTGAACCAGTGAGAGTCGAACTGCCAAACTGCAGTCAGAAGTAGCCTGCAGTACTGCATTCTAACCACTGCGCCACCACTATCGCCCTGATCTTTGCTGATCCCAAAGAACATAACGTAATAGAATAACACAATAACAGAGTTGGAAGAGACCTTGGAGGTGTTCTAGTCCAACCCCCTTTTCAGGGACTACAGTACTCAGTGCTAACAATACTGCAAACTCTATTTCAATATAGGAAGGAGGAAGTTCATTCAAGCCTATCATATTCATAGTCAAAAGAGTAGACTAAGCAACTAGAACAAGGATGTCCAACCTTGGCAACTTGGCTGCTTGAGGAATTCTGGGAAATGAAGTACACAAGTCTTAGAAGTTGCCAAAGCTGCACACCCTAAACTAGAATCTTCAGCTCCAGGGCTGAATATTACTTTGAAGTGCTCAGCACCTCCTGAGCATCAGTTGTAGCTGGAACACTTCCCCAGAGGGGCTCACTGGCCCAGATAAAAGCTGCTCCAAGGTTCATCCTTCCAGGTGCCTGGAGCACTGTGGCTCAACCCTGGCAATTTTGATGTCATTGAAATATATGCCTCAGTATACTGGCCAGGGAATTCTGGGTGTTGCAGTCCACCCATCTTAAAGCATGCTGGCCAGAGAATTATAGAAACCGAAGTCTACACATCTGAAAGTTGCCACGGTTGAAAACATCCCGTTGCCCGTTGCAGAACGTTAAGGACACATTGGGTTTGCTGGAACCTACGGAATACAGGTAATCCCCAATTTATAACCTGAGTTCAAATTTTCAATGGCACTGAAAAAAATGGCTTATGTTTTCACACTTGTGACCGTTGCATCATCCCCATGGTCACGTGATCAAAATTCAGCCATTTGGCAACGGATTCATATTTATGATGGTTGCAGTGTTCCGACAGTCATGTGATCCCCTTTTGCGACCTTTCAATAAGCCAGAGGTCTCCAAACTTGGCCACTTTAAGACTTGTGGACTTCATCTCCCAGAATTCTCCAGCCAGCTGGCTGGAGAATTCTGGGAGATGAAGTCCACAAGTCTTAAAGTGGCCAAGTTTGGAGACCTTTGCAATAAGCAGTCAATGGGGAGGCCAGAATAACTTTACAATCCTGTTACTAACTTAACGACTGCAGTGATTCATTTAACAACTGTGACAAGAAAGGTTGTAAAATGGGGGAGGGGGAATTTACATAACAATTTACTTGTCTCATTTACTAATGGAAATTTTGGACTCGATTGTGGTCGTAACTGGAGGATTACCTGTGGCCCCTGTACGTATGAGACAGAGGGACTTTCCAAAAAACCGGGGGTGGGAAAGACGTTCCCAGCCCCCTCTCTGAGGATTCCCCTACCCAGATCTTTTGCAATGCCCCCTCACCAAGAATTGCAGCCCCTTCCCTGCTTTTCCTCCCAGTTTTGCAGAAGTGCCCCCTCTCTAACAAAATGAAATTCAGTGCAGATAAAAGGAAAGTCCTACACTTAGGCAAGAAAAACCAAAAGGACACATATAGACTGGGTGAAACCAGGCTCAATAGCAAGAACTGGGAGAGGGATCTTGGAGTCTTAGTGGACAACCAGCTAAATAGGAACCAGCCGTGTGCAGCAGCAGCCAAAAAAGCCAACACAATCCGAAATTGCATTAACAGAAGGATACAATTGAGATCAATGGAGGTACTAATACCACTCTATAAAGCCTTAGTAAGACCACACTTAGAGTCCCGCATACAGTTTTGTTCACCACATTACAAAAAAGATGTTGAGACTCTAGAAAAAGTGCAGAGAAGAGCAACCAGGATGATTTTAGGGGATGAAGAACAATTACAGGAACCGGGCCTGGCTAGTCTAGGGAAGAGAAGGACCAGGGGAGACAGGAGAGCAGCCTTCCAATATTTGAGGGGCTACCACAGAGAGGGCGGGGTGTGCGTGTGTGTGTGAAACTATGCTCCAAAGCACTTGAAGGCAAGGCAAGAAACAATGGATGGAAACTGAAGAAGGAGAAATTCAACCTGGAAAATAAGGAGAAATTTTCTGACACTGAGAACCATCAACCAGTGGAACAGAAGTTGCCTTCAGAAGTTGTGGGAGCACCATCACTTGAGTTTTTTAAGAAGAGACTGGACTGCCATTTGTCAGAAATGGTGTAGGGTCTCTCGCTTGGGCAGGGGGCTGGACTAGATGACCTACAAGGTCCCTTCCCACTCTTGCTATTCTGCTCCATCTGTAAAAGTCTCTCCTCGCGCCGGGCGGGCCCAGACAGGGGCGGGGCCGTCGGCGGAACGGAGGAAAGGGCGGAACTTTCCTTCCGAGGCTGCGCGGGCAGGTCGGAGCCGAGTGCGAGGGACGCGCCTCCACCCCGGCCGCCGCCTCCGCCTCCGCCTCCTCCACCTCCACCACCCGGAGCGCTTTTTCGGTGGCGCCACCTGCGGCGGCCGCGGCTCCGGCGGCGGCGCTCCCTCGGGTAGCGGGGCGGGCGGCCAACATGGCGGCGGCGGCGGGCTGCGGCGGGTCGCCGCGCGGATGGCAACGCTGATGACCGTCCGGAGACTCGCCTCCATCTGTACCATGGTGAGGGGGGGGGGCGGGGGAGACGCCCCGCAGCATTAACACCCCTCCCTCCGCAGGGCCCCTCCCTTTTGGGGGGAGGGGAGGGACGGCAGTGAGGAGGGGTCTGCTTCCGCGAGGAGGGGGCAGGCGCGGGGGTGGGGCCCGGGCAGGAAACCTCGGGGGGCAGCTCTCTGAGCATGTGCAGAGTGCTTTCTCCCGCGGGAGTGGGGGGGGCGGTGAGAGGAAAAGCAGCCCCTTTAAGGGACCCCCCCCTTCCCAAAGGAGCCTTTAAGGCAGGGGTCTCCAACCTGGGCCCCTTGCTGGCTGGGGGATTCTGGGAGTTGAAGTCCTCCAGGCTTAAAGGGGCCCCAGGTTGGAGACCCCTGCTTTAATGAGCCGGCTTTGGGGGTTGGGTCTTTTTTCTCCTCTGGGCGCCTCACCTATTTTTATTTATTTATTTATTTATTTATGGATTAAATGCATATCGCTCCCCCCCTCCGGGGCGGGGGTGCTGCTGGAGACCCTGTGTGGTGCCTGGAATTTGAAAGACAAAGCCCATCATCCACCGTCTCCTGTCCAGTTCAGGAGAACCCCGGGCTGCTCCCTCCAATCCAGACCTTCCTGGATTTCTCTTTCCTGCTCCTTTTCTTCCTTTCTTTTTTTTTTCCAGATAAGGACTCCAAATAATAATAATAATAATAATAATAATAATAATAATAATAATAATAATATCCTTCCAGTTTGGAGCCCCCTGTCTGGTACCATGCATCTCGCCCTCTTAACTGAGTCCATCGGTCGCTTTTTATAATAGTGTGTTTATTTACGGTGTATGTCCTTAGCTGGCATACTCATTTGTTTTTCTGTTTTAGGCAGATGTAACAGTTTATTTTAACACATCTTGTCGGTGATTTGATTCGGACATCATTGACATGCAACTAAAACAGTAAAAAAAGCTGTCATAACAAAATATGCAGAGTGCTTTCCAAGTTTGCGCACAATGGGTAAAGGGTTCTCTCTCCATTCCTTGATAGATTTTATTTTTATTCTGCTTTTTAAGTTTGTAAGTAATGCAAGGCAGCGATCATACCTAATACACTTCCTCCTCCTCCTATTTTCCCCACAACAACCCTGGGTTGGGCAGAGAGAGGCTTGTTTTTTTCTTCTGCTTTCTTGTTCTTCTTTGGTCTCTTCCACTTCGCTGCTTTAGTTATTTTTCTGTATGTTTGTCAAGAAAACATATCCTGGGTGGAAATGGCATGAAATGTGTGAATGCCTCGTGAGGTGCACAGATGAGTCATGTATGTGCTGTATGGACCTGAATTGCAACATGTAGCCTTTTGGGGAACGGGTGGCACCACAGGGTAGCTTCCATGAATTTAGTTAATTAAAGTGAGTAGGATCATATTGTTCCCACATTTTTAATGTAATTTCATGTCATATTTTTTGCATAGAAGTGGAACAAATAGATGAAATGAGAAGCAATACAGTAATCCTTGATTTAAGACAACGATTGAACTCAAAGTGAGTTTTGCTCCATTTCCCAACTTTTCTTGCCAAAGTTGTTTAAGGGAATCGCTGCAGTTGTTAAGTTAGTATAACCTGGTTGTTAAGTGAATCAGGCTTTCCCCATTGACTTCGTTTGTCAAAAGGTCGCAAAAGGGGATCATGTGACCCGCAGGACAGAGTATGAAGTATGAACCAGTTGCCAGACATCTGAGTTTTGATCACATGATCACGGGGATGCTAGAAAGGTCGTAAGTGTGAAAAATGGTCATAAGTCACTTGTTTCAGTGTGCTGTTATAACTGAACAAATGACCTGTTGTAAATTGAGGTCTGTATTTAACAATATGGAGAGATTAAAATGTCTACAAATAGTAATCATAATGTGTTAAATGTATATGTCTCCTAACTCTCAGTAACTCTGCGCAGTTGGTTATATGTTGAGAAGCCCTGAGAAGGTATGTTGGCCCTCTTTGACTCCAATTCATTTTTATTGAGTGAGGAACTTGCATTTGATGCTCTTGTAAAGTGGTGTGTCCTGAAAGCAGCACAAAAGTGTGTTGCAGTGCAGGTCCTTTCTAGCCAGCAAACATGAGATTTCTCTCTCTCTGTTCCTGAGAGAAAAAATAATTGATTGTCAAGACCAGAAAGGAAGGAAGGCTTCTGCAAATGAAGTCCTTCCCCCTGCAGCTCTTACAAGCAATTCCTTCTCCCCTGTAGTAATTTGTGCTGCAGGATTGATGCTTGTACAGCATTTCATTCCAGCAAAGACCATCTGGAATTCTCATTGCTTTCTATTGGGGAAGATCTCTTGACGTTTTCTATATTTCGTCTTTTAGCTTCCTTCCATCATGAAACTCAAGGGTCATGGGATAGTTTTGGCCTGAGTGAAGGAATGCAGTTGAAACTTCATCCAGATGAGAACTGTGCCTTGTGGGTGAGAATAATCTGTTAATCTGATTGGAAATGCACAGCCCGAGTGATTTTCATTCTCCCTGAATGCCTCTGTTGATCTCCCAGCATTACAGCTGCTGGAAGTTGTGTTCAAAAATACCTGGAGGGAATGTGTTGCATAACCATGCCCTTAAGCCTGAGCAATGGTGTTGAGATGTTGTCATGGATGTGGCATTTGGTTAAACCGCAATTGTGTCAGTGGTTGGGTGTATCATTTAACACGGTTGGCTTGTTTACCAGCTGTGATTTAAAGGGAAACTGATTTTGCCTCCCTTAAGCAGGATCTGATTACCATGCATGCTTTATTGGGGCTGATATTGCAGAAGGCTTAGAAACGACATCTGCAGCTCGAACACTTGTAAGAGCTGGATGTTTTGATCATGTAACATTTTCTCAGACCTGTTATGTTGGCTCCTTATTTATTTCCAGGTTGTGAAGTGCTGGTATATGTGAAGGCATTAAAGAGTGCCGTGTGATAGCACATTTGCCTTTATAATCCAAGCCTGTTTATGGTCGAAGATTAGTTTTTGAGCATGGAGATTCTCGGCCATCCAGGCCATGGTTGTCCCAAAGGTACTTTTTCAAAAGGCAACTGGACTTTCTTGGTTTTTTTCTTGAAGACGTTTCGCTTCTCATCCAAGAAGCTTCTTCAGTTTTGAACTGAAAAAGCTTCTTAAATGAGAAGTGAAACATCTTCAAGGAAAAACAAAGAAAGTCCAGTTGCCTTTTGAAAATTCACCTTTGGGGTCCGTTTCTAAGGTTCTACTGTCTGGCCCATCACAGAGAGAGCCTTCTCACCAGTGTCCCCAAATCTTTTCAATTGTCTCCCCCATAACAAAGTTTCCAATTTTCCTTTCCCAACTCCTTTCCTTGAGCTTGTAGTTAGCTAATTACACCATATCAGTATTTCTCAACCGTAACCATTTTAAGATATATGGCCTTTAATTCCCCAAATACCTAAGCAAGCAATGTTGTGGGCATTCTGGGAATTGAACTCCATATATCTTTAAATAGCCACAGTTGAGAAACACTGCACTATATAAAATATTTAAATAAGATGTGTGTTGCAGTTGTCTTTCTTGTTCTGCTGATCCCTTAGGTGTTTAATTTTGTGGTTTGATTTTTATATTTAAAAGTGGTCTGCTTTTAAGGGGTTTTGCTCTTGAAAGATGTTAAAAATGACAACCTAAGAATAACAATAATAAATATCCAGGTATTTCCCATCCTCCCTGGATGCTTAACATCAACGGGACATTTGACTCATATATTTGGAATCTAGGTCCTGTCTCAAGAGAAAAACGATATTTCGCTTTAAAACTCTGAGATAAATTAATCAAGTCCACTTTTATCTTCTCAAAGGGTTTTACCTCCTCCCCTTGTCCAAGAAGGCCACCAGCATTAAGTTCAACCCCAGAGATAGTTCCAGTTTTTCATGCCAAACCACACCTCGCTCTGCAGAGGCTCATGGTGTTTATGGGCGTTTAGCCATTAAAAGAGTCTTGGAAAGTGTTTTTCAGTCTTGGCAAGTTTAACATAGGTGGACTTGGCTTTCTGGGACTCGAAATCCACCTATCTTAAAGTTGCCGAGGTTGAGAATCACTTATTCTTGGATAAAAACATTCTGAATGGAGAAAAGACAAGCCCTTGACCTTTCCACAGCAGCCTCTTCCTCCATCAGTAGTTTTCGGCTTATGTTGCATTTATTTATCTCATTATGTTTGTTTCTAATGTATTCGTGTCAGTAAAGCACTTACAGCCGTTTTGGTCCATGGGGAAAAATAAATAGTCCATAAGTGGAGAAAATCTACACGAAGGCCACCAAAATGACTTTGAAGTATGTGCCTTTTTCCGCAGGTCCCTGGAACCTTCTGTCAGCCAAGAGGTGATTTAAAGCAGGGGTCTCCGACCGTGGCCACTTTAAGCCTGATGGACTTCAACTTCCAGAATTCCCTTGGAGACCCCTGATTTAAAAGGGGGTGGGGAAGGATGAGTCAGAAGAAAGGAAAAGCTGGGTACAGGTAGTCCTTAACTTACAACCAGTCATTTAGTGGCTATTTGAATTTAAAACTGACCTACCTGGGTAGTACAGGTAGTCCTTGACTTACAACAGTTCATTTAGTTATTGTTCAAAGTTACAACAGCACTGAAAAAACGTGACTGGCGACCGTTTTTACACATGGCCTTTTGTAGCATCCGCAGGATCACATGATCAAAATTCAGATGCTTGGCAACTGGTTCCTCCTTATGACCGCTGCTGTATCCCAAGATCCCGTGGTCCTCTTTTAACAACCTCCTGACAACCAAAACTCACGGGGAAGCCAGGTTCACTTAACAATGATGGTAAGGAAGACCATAAGTTGGAGGCAAAGCTCCCTTAGCGGATGTCTCACAAGAGCAGAAATCTTGGGTTCAATTTGTGGTCGTAAGTCGGGGATTACCTGTACTTGCGATCTGGGCTCAGAGTTCTGACGGTCGGGCCCACCCGCAGCCCTCATGGTCACAACTGCACTTTGGTAATCAGGCCACATTTGTGTATCCCAAGGTCACGTGGGCTCAATTGGTGACC